GGGGGGAGGGGAGGCGACTCCATATGAAAGGGCGGGGATGCTCATCGTCTCGTTTAGGGGTGTAAATTGCAGATTTTGGTCTCGCTTAGGGTGTTCTGGGCTAAACACCATCATATTTAGCCACAAAGGTCTCTTTTTGGGTTCCACTTGAAGAAATATTAAGAAAATTGTATAGTTTTCCATTTGTCTTATTTACTCGAGTCATGTGATCAAAGTTTAAAATGATCGCCTTTAGGGGTTGGGCCATGCCCAGAATGGTCTCCCTTAGAGCACCTCCGCCCCTTTAATATGGGAGTTCCCTCCCCCCCTCCCCACGGATTGCAAGTAAGCTATTAGCTTATTGCTTGGCCTTTTATTTACCTGTGAAATGTTCAGCAGGCATCCGTGGACGATACTCCTACTCTTGTACGTTGGATCAGCGATGATCTGATCGGCCCAAAATAACGAATATGAAATATAAATATAGAGGCAAGACCGATACAACGTAGATAAGTAAATTTTAAGACGGAGCACTATATTTCGGTTGGCCAAACCAGCCTTCTTCAGGTGAAGTGGGAATTAACAGAGAATTGGGGTTATGCTTCGTAGATAGCTGTATGATGTAACAGCGGAAATATGTAAAACTAATTTGATTGACAATGAGATAACAATAAAAATGGAAATGGTGAGCAAAACTAGAAATGAAGTAAGGTAAATTGGATAAATAACTAGAAACTAATACATTTCTTCGCGACCGTTAAGGCCATCTGGATAAATAGTGTTGCCTCTTGAAATTAAAAAAGCTTCCCTGGCCTTGCGTATCGAGTCTCTGTTGGAATACACTTTTTCGATGGCGATTAGCTCCTTGTCGTGAGCAGAGTGGTTAGGAGAGGAAATGAAGTGTTCTGCCGCTGTAGCAGGTTTAGATTTAGAGTTAGGTTTATCAATGGTACGGCGGTGTTCATTAAAACGGTCTTTTAAACGTCGTTTAGTTTCTCCTATGTATTGTAAGTTACAGCGGTTACACTGAATTAAGTAGATAAGGTTTTTAGTGTCACAGGTCAAGTGAGATTTAATGGGACGTGTTTCGCCGGTAGAAAAAAAGGTATAGTTAGTAAGACCGTCAGAGATGTAGGGGCAAGTAGCGCAGTTTCTACCACAACGGAAAGAGCCGGGGGGGAGTTGAGGATGGGAAGTGGTAGAATTAGAGGGGAGTTTGGCTGTTACTAATGTGTCGCGAAGGTTGGGGGAGCGTCTGAAGGCGACAACTGGCAGCTGAGGAAAAGCTTTTTTGCAGCGGTTAGAAGACTGCAGTAGATGCCAGTGTTTTTTGATGATGTTGGAGATGTGAGGAAGCGACGGATTAAAAGTAGTTATAAATGGAATACGGTTAGGTTTTTTTACGTCTTTAGTTTGTAAGGTGAGTGTGCGGGAGATGTCAGCGGCGCGTTGTATTTGTTTGGTGACGAATTTATGGCTGTAACCTCGTTTGAGAAGGTATGNGTGCGCTTGTATATTTATTTCATTTCTGTTTGATTGTGGAAGAAGCGAACTGTATCCATCCATTCAATGGACAAGCACTAATCCAGTGTGAGTACCACTGTCCACTTTGCGCTTCTTGGCTTATCGACACCTCAGATAACAGATAACTAAAGCTTTAAAAATGTAAAAGAAGGGTTACGAATAGCTAGCATTTACATAATCTTTTCTGTAAGCGAACGACAAGGAATATTAGATGATTTGATTGTCCCTCTCAACATGTTTAACAAAGTTGTCATCGTATTTTTGAGGTTACTCGGAAGTTTTGCAACAACTGTTTTGATCGACAAAGACGTTATATGTCTATCAACTATATTGGAAACAAATTTCGGGCGAATCAAAAGGAGAGGACGACAATTTTTGCCGCGTGTGAGCTTTGAATAACCTTGAGACATATACAGTGAGGGATATGACCGAAGTTTTCGCTTTCTTTAGCTGAAAGTTTCCTGTGATTTGAACGATATGAGCAGTAACTTGTTTTCTCTTTTTGTTCTCCTTTTAATATACAGTGTTTGTCAAAACAGCACAAGATTATAATTTGCAAATATGACACGGCTTTAAAAAGGCGGATTAGTAAGAAACTTATGCGGATGAATTTACCCCTTCCGCTTTCGAATTGTCCAAGAATGCCATCTACATGTATTGCATTCATGCTATGGGAAGTTCTTGTTATGTCGTGGCAAAAAACTCACATCCCACCCTTGGTTTTGAAGTTAGGCGATGGCAAAGAGAGAATATGACGACAATTGCTCTATAGCACGAGACAATTCATATAGTGCCTCTTGCGTAATTACATTTTCTTAGAAAACCGGGTACTTTTCCACCCCTTCCAGTTCCTTTGTCCACTTTTCCACGGGAAGTTTTATTTACCAGTTTTTCTACTTGGGCTCAGATGAAAGAAGACCCATAAGTTGTGTTGATCAAAACAAACCAGTCGAAATCATTTAATAATTTAAATATACATGGAAAGGAAGCGCTCCAATGAATTTTGCGAGAACAATGGACTCAAAGGGGCAGAATTATTTAGTGATGCCGCCACTATCTCCTCAGAAACTTACTTTTAGCTTGATTTGAAAGGAAATACAAAAACTTGGCTAATTTCATTTCAATTTGCCATATAGTGCATGTAGGCAACGGAGTTGTAAATGGATATCACAATTGCTGTTATTATGCACCCTGCTTGTTTTACGAAACTCCCCCTTGTACCCAAGGACAGTGAACGTCGATCCTGTTATGTTAACTTATGCCGAGGATTTTCGACTTTATACAGCGGAGAAAAAACAAATTTGAAGTACTACATATTTTTATTTTCAACAAGTTATAATTTTCAGATTATCATTCTTACTTTAAGCAATTCGTGAAAGCTTTAGAGGTCGACTTAAAGTACGTATCTGTTTTGCAAGATACCTATTTTAAGTAGATTATGTAATAAGTTTCAACGTGAGATTCGCTTTTACATCGGTCTAAACTTGGCAAAACATAAGAAGGAACGTTACATAAAGATTCAATGAAAAATCTTTCGCTTTCTATCAAGATAAATCTATTGCAAATGTTTCGTGTAAATTTTTTACCTTTTTGTTATTTTAAAACCTTAATTATTCAAATTATTACTGCTCCCTTTCGTAATTAGCTCCAGGCCTATTATTTCTTCTTTACCTTGACAAAGGCCTGTGC